GACAATACATATCACTGAAACTCAGACAGAATTAAGTAACACAATTAATAAATGATTTGGCTTCACATATCATGCTCTTTACTATACCACATCATTTGTTCAGAAAACATTTCATGAACTCTTACCAAGTGCTAGGTATTGTACTAGGTATAAAAAATACAGTGAGGAATGAACAAAAGCACATGCTCACAATAAAGCATGACAGTGCTGTAAGAGTGAAAGCTTGGGGTGAGATGGGAGCCTGTTAGAGGGGCACTTATTCCTAACCTGGAGTTGACAGAGGAAGCAACCTCTTAACTTAGCCTGAGTGGATGAATGTGATTTAGCAAAAGAAGGATAAATCCCACAGGAGGATTTGGGCATTGCAAGAGGCCAAAGGTGAAAAAGCTCTGTAAGAGCTGAGAAGCTGGAAGAAGGATGAAGAGGGAATAGAAAGGTAAGTAGTAACCAGAGCATATACTGCTTCTTAACTGGTGTTGAGTTTTAGCCTATAAGCAATTGGTAGTCACTGGGAGGTCATAAGCAGAGGAGAAATGTGCTGAAATCTGTATGGTGGGTAGGGAATGAAGATGGGAGGCAGAGGATCAGCTTAGAAGCCTCACAAGTGAGAAACTATGAGGACTTGCACTAAAGAAATGCAAGGCGAGATCATGAGAAGAGGACAGGGATATTTAGAGGGCAGAACTGATGAGATGTTACTTCCATGAAGGGTGAAGGAAGAAACGGAAATTAAGAATGACTCAATTTTTCAACCTTATTCCAAAGACCACATTTAAAACACCTATACAACTTCTCTAGGTACTCGCATTATAACATTTCATTTTTTTTCTATAAAGTAGGGAGCAAGGTCATCTACTGAAACTGAGATGGGAGGTAGCAAGAAGAGATGTAGTGAAGATCTAAACTAGCCACTCTGTAGAATGAGGAATTGCTGAACCGAGAAACACAGGCTTCCAGGAAAGTTCTGAGGGCCCAAATGGGGCAGAAGGTCTTGATCTGGTAGCCCTCATCTGTACAGATGGAAGATTATCTCCAGCAGCACTCAATAGCCAGGGTAAAGATGCACAGAAGATGAACACAGAGACTGGACCATATCAAAGTTTTCCAGGAGAGGCAGAAAAGACAAGATATTAGGGCAGAGGAGTTTAGAATATAAGAGAGTGGTAGAAGCAACGAAATATAGCCTCTAAGCTGGATATAGAAGTGAAGGGAGGGTGTGCTAATAAAAAGAAAGCAGACTAGGAACTAGGGTCAGGGAACTAGAGGGCTCTCATGACAGCATTTCCCAAAATGTGTTTCTCAGATACTTATTACACAGGATGTTAATCACTGACAAGTTCCTCATTAAAAGCTTTTCATGGTCAAGTAAGTGAAGGAAACCTGGGGTAATGTAATTTTTAAACTGTTTCCTTCCCGTACTATTTGCATTTAATAAGTTAATAATATATCTCTAGGATAAATATGCATTTCCCAAATACTTCTGATTATTATATATTATTTATCTATATTTATCAGATAATTTCACTGAATGGGTATCTTAAGGAACACATTTTCAGAAGGTGTGCTCTATGAAATGAGAAGTAGGGATGGTAGAACACTTGAAAAGAAAGTAGCTTACTAAGGCAGGAGGTTTACCTGAAAGTTCTCTTAGCTTCCAGAGCAATGTATCTTTAATTCTACTATAACACACATACACACACACAGACACACACACACACACACATACACACACACACACAGCTTGACTCTGACTCTACTGTGATTAGTATTCATTCATGAAACCAATATTCCAAGAGCATGTACTATTATGTGGCAGAGGAGATTTATACAGCATTCTTACCAGGACAAACTTCATAACTTATCTGGGGAAAAAACAGAAACACACAAGAAAAATAAAAACCTGGCTGGAAAGTATGGCTCTTCCTCAGATACCCCTAAGATATAGTTTCCCTCCAGGGCAACTAGTGCTACCAATATAGCCACAGCTCTGTAAGATCAGAAAGTTCCTCCATAAAAACAGAGCTAAGATGAGTAGAACTGAGCTGAACAAACGAAAAAGCCCCAGTCTTGTCTTTGCTGAAGCTACTACTCTCCCAGTCATTCATGATGAAATAATCTCTCCTACCCCATCAATCTGATGACACAGATTCTTGACCTGGTCCTAATCTACTCCAGGATAAGAAATCCTAACAGTTGATTTTCTTAAATGACAACCAACCTGCTTAAACCCAGTGTCAACCATTCAGAATTCCAACTGTCACAGATTAGTATGGATAAAGCATAATCTGTAAGGAAGAAGTAGAGATCCACATGTAAATACTGGCTAGTGCCAGACTGTGAAGGATCTTGGTGACACAGCTGAAGCCTGGATATCCGTTGGGGAATGAGGAGGCCTGATGGATATATGAATAGGAAGATCGGGAGCGGGAGGGTAAAAGTAATGCCATCATTGCTAAAAACAGGTTTAGAAAGTTATTCTTGGGACATGCCCATAGGGTCCATGTCCATTTTTAAAAAGGCAGATCAAATTTTAAAATATTTTTTGTCATTTTTCTCCGCTTCCCTTCAAAGGGAAGGTTTTCCTTCCTAGAGGTAAGGAAAATAGGCCCATAATTTCCAGCTTCATGGTTAAAGGTATAAAAAAGAAAGTGTAAACATAATTTAAACTGACAAGGATGTTAAATCAGGCAACTCACTTGAAACTCCAATGGGAAAAGAGATGAAAATCAAAATCTTCAGTACATATTGTAGAGATTTTAGAAAAACAAAAATAATAAACTGCTATCATCTTATTAGGGAACAAAAACGCTAAAGACACATTAGCAAATGTGGCTTTGACTGATGTGACATAAGCTGAGACCTCATACCAACTAATTTAAGAAGTTTTAAAGATTTAGATCATGAGAAAAACAAAACTACAATAATTATGTGGTTTCAGAAAAAGTTAAGTCTTCCCTCAGTAACTTCTTCACATTCTTTACTACTACCATACTACAATATGACAATCCCTAGGGGTTATACTAACATCACTTGATTAGAATTTTGGAAACACTGAAGTCCTACATTACAAAATGATGTCTAACTTGCAGAAACAAAAAACAAAGAAAGTTGGCTCATGGGATTTAAAACTCGCCGAGGTCCATAAAACAACTGCAGTTACAAAAACCACTATCTGCTCAACTTCAAAATGGGCTTTCAATAAAACCTCTGTGACAAAAAGTCATACCTATATATTCAGTTACAACAAAATTATAACATATATTGATTTTTGTGGATGTCATACACAAAATGTGTAGATATCTGTGGTGTAATTTTAAAGTATGATGTTGGAAACATCATCATTGCTCTCTCTTCTTTGAAATATAATACACTGCAATCCAAATGAATTCGATTCTATAAAGACTCATTTTTCTTAACTACTATATATATGCTGATGTTCAACTATATGACTGCATGAAAAGTTGTTTATACAGCTTCATGAGGAGCTCAGTAACTCCCTAAAGATACAAAACAGAACTCATGATCTAATTGATCTGTTAAGAATCATAAAATTTGAGTTAAAAAATTATATCAGCTTATGGAAAATTGATATTACATGTGGATGAAAAATGTGTTAACTGTTTTACCACAGAGTCTTTGTGATCCACTTGTACCCTAACACTGGCTGGTTCTGGAGGCCACAAGACCATCCTCTGCAGTGTAGTGAGGCACGTTACGGATGCAGAAAACTTACTCTAGTCAGATGCCCTGCTGGTAATTTCAGGAAATCCAAGATTTAGGCTGCTTTCTGGGTAAAAGGCTCAGAAGACCCACCAATGGCAGGAGATGGAAAATTCATACTCCTCCCCCAGGATTATGGCAACATAGCAATCTATTTACATTTTGTGCTTCATGATCTCTCTATCCAAAGTACATATGCAACCATAATGGGCTACACAGAACTAGGAAATGTGAAAAAGCAGCAGTACTGAGCCATGTGACTTGAAGCTATGGGTCAAACTTCAAAGGGGGAGTAGCAAAAAGAAAAGGGTGAGCAAAAAGGAAATGGAAGTATCTGAGAGAAAATCCTGGTACCCATTTTGCAGTACCAGCAAATTACTTAAATATTTACAGTCTTCTAGGTTCTACAATGCTAGAAGTCATGTAATTCTGCTTTTCTACCATTGAGAGGCAATACTCTTCAGTGGAAAGCAGCCTAGTGCTTGCTTAGACTTTGACACTAACCACCCAGGACTAGGGTAGGACCAGGACAGGAAGAAAAAGGTCAGTTGGTGCTAAGAGAAAATTCGTTTTTGCCTATAATTGTGAAATCACAATGACCTACAATGTTAACTGCACTATCTTAAAAAACTATTTTTAAAAAAGAGAAGTGCTAGTCTGTGAAAGCATTCCTATTGTCATCACTCTGTAAGCAACAGAGGTCAGAGAGAATGTTTGATCATCCTTTTAGCCACTGCAGCACCCCCCCCCACTGTGCCTCACATATGGTAAGCAGCAGTAAATACTCATGGAACTGAATCTTCTGTATGAGCATCCCTGTCTCTTAATCCTTCTTTCTAGTGTTTATTTCCCACCTTATTTCTTCCCATAGCTTGCACTGCTCTGTCGTTGTGGTTTAACTGATAATTTGGACAACACAAAATGACAGTCTGTTGAATTTATTGGAAGATAATTTTAGGTTCACTTTTTTAATTGGAAAAGTAAATGTTAGGAACATTATCTTTTTCTCTCTAAAATACTTTGCAAATTAAGCAGTGGGTTAGCAACCTTCAACAGAAAAAAGTTCCATATCTCTAAGTTGAAGATGTGTTGCTTTCTGCTATATTAAAATACAATTTTAAAAAGTTGACTTGTGCCATACTCTTTTTTACTGTTACGTAAATGTAAGAAACAAAATTTTCCACAATTGGCTATAAAAAGTAACACAGAACTAGCTTGGTTCCTATAAAAGTATCCTTTCAAATTAGAAAACAAATATTCAATGTAAAAAAGCCACATACTTTTCATAGTTCCATCTTCTTCTTCCTCATCCTCACTGTTTATCACCATGGTCCCCAAGTCGGATTCCAACATGGTGCTATTATGTTCAATCATGGTCTGGGCCCCTTCACTCATCGTGCTTGTGGCCCGCATGGTGCCCACACTCTCCACACTAGTCTTCACCATGGTGTGGGAATCCAGCTCATCTTCATCCTGCAAGCAAAATACTGCAATGAGGGAAGACTTTTCTGTGACAGCTGGATTTCTTAATTCTTAACAAGAGAATGAATATATTATAGTTTTAATGCTTATAAAAATACGATTAGTACTGATTTTAATATAGACATACATACAAATGTTATTTTAAGAGCAAAAATTATTCAAAATAACCTAAAGTTTTAGGTAATTAAAGATCAAGCAACAGAAATTGATGAAGCAGAAGGCTGCTAGTTGCTTTTAAAATAAGGATTAAGATAGGTGAACTATCAACAAATGCATAACAAAGAATATGGTGACGAAAACAACTAAATATATAAAAGAGAGCACCTTTAAGACAGAACACATTTACACTTTGTATTACAACGGGCATAATGATGTCTATAACCTTGTACAAGAGCCATTAGTTTTTTCTTTTAAATTATGGCAAAATATACATATACATATACATAAAATTCACCATTTTAACAATTTTTAAGTGTACAGTTCTATAGCACTAAGAATGTTCACAGTGTTGTGCAACCACCACCATTATACATTTACAGAACTCTTCATCCCCCCTTTCCCCAGTCCTGGCAACCTCTATTGTACCTACATGAGGTATCTAGAATAGGCAAATTCATGAGTACTACTATTCATACCATAGTACTAATTCATAATTACTATTGTACTCATGAATTTGCCTATTGTAGATACCTCACGTAAGTGGAATCATACAATATACTTCACTGAGCATAATGCATTCAAGATTCAGGCATATTGTGGTATGTTGTGTAATTTTATTCCTTTTTAAGGCTGAATGATACTCCACTGCATGAATACACCACATTTTGTTTCCCTATTTATCTGTTGATGGCCATTTGGATTGTTGACACCTTTGTCTACAATAGTGCTATTCACCTTTGTGAATAGTGCTAATGTGAACACTGACCTACAAGTATCTGTTTGAATCCCTACTTTCGGTTTGGTTGGGTATCTACCTAGAAGTACAATTGCTGGATCACATGGTAACTTCATATTTAATTTTTTGAGTGCCCAAACTGTTTTCCACAGTGGCTATACCATTTTACATTCCCACCAGCAATGCACAGGATTCCAACTTCTCTATGTCCTTGACAACACTTGTTATTTTCCATTTCTAAAAAGTAATAGCCATCCTAATGAACATGAAGTGTTATCACATTGTAGTTTGATTTGCATTTCCCTAATGACTACTGATGTTGAGCAATCTTTTCGCATGCTTATCAGCCATTTGTATATCTTCTTTGGAGAAATATCCATTTACCCATTTTAAAATGGGTTGTTTGGTTTTTCTGTTGTTATTACAAATTCTGGATATTAATTCCTTACCAGAGATATAATTTGCAAATATTTTCTCCCATTTTGTATGCTTTTTACTTCATTTATAGCATCTATTGATGTAAGTTTTTAGTTTTGATGAAGTCTGATTTATCAGTTTTTTTTCTTTTGTTGCCTATGCTTTTGTTGTCAAATCCCAGCTTTTGAATGTTTCACAGAAGAATTGAGTCAGTAATATAAGTACAAATTAAAAGTGCTATTTAGAACATTCACCAAAGATATACTGGAATAGGGTCATAAAAATAAACTAACAAATCCTGTCTGAAAGACCAACTGATAATCCCAGTGCTTTGGGAGGTCAGGGCAGAAGGCCAGGAGTTTGAGACCAGCCTAGGCAATACAGCAAGACCCTGTCTCCACAAAAAATTTAAAAATTAGCTGAACATGGTGGTGTGCCTGTAGTCCTAGCTACTTGATGGGCTGAGGCTGGAGGATTGCCTGAGCTCAAGAGTTTAAGGCTGCAGTAAGCGATGATGGCGCCACTGCCCTCCAGCCTGTGTGACAGAGCAAGACCCCATTTCAAAAAGAAAGAAAGGACCAAAGAATCGGCTCTTTAGAAAAACTTGATTATGCACTGAAATTCATTTATATTTATTCCATTTTTAGTAGAAACATATAAGCAAAATCTAGTTCTGGCAGAGGTCAAAATGCAAATCTGAGAACATCAATGTTGAGTCTCAGCAATTTGGATTGTATAATATAACAATAGTTGGACACCTGTTTGATACCTTTCCTCTTCCTAAACCTACATGATAAGCTTGGGCATTATGTCTCAAAGTCGTTTGCACTTCTTTAATGATCCTTTCTCTTTTAGAAGACCTCTTCATTCTCAAGCCTTCAACCATCTAATAAGTCGAGGAGTCTCAAATCCTGTAATCTTCCTATGTCTTTACTTATTATTTAAATGCTTAATGATGTCTAAAATTTGACAGTCCCAAATCAGATATTATTTGTCTCTCCAGTCCCTCCTATCTGTCTCCACCCCCAACAACCACCACAAAGCATGGTAATCTTCACTTGCTACATAAAACTTCAATGTCGTCTTACATTTATTTTCTCTTTCATTCCCTATATATGTATCAGTCAACTAGTTCTTTAAAAAATTCTCTCTTAGCTCCATCTCTTCTTTTTCCATTCCCACTGCTACTGGGTATAATCCTCACTACCTCATAGGTGGTTTACTGCAGCTAATGCTTCCTGACTGAGGACTCTCCCATCTAACTTTCTAGAGTCAGGCAGACATTGGTTCAAATCCTGGCTCAAATCAGTTATGAGGCATAGGATCCTTGTTCCCAAAGATTGATGATTAAATAAAAAGGTAAGCAAAATGCCTGCATGCTACCTGGAACAAGGTAGTTTCACACCTTTCTCAAAGTACATGGCATTATACTAACCTTTCTTGAATACTATTTCTATCATTCTACGGAAGAATCTACTATGGCTCCCAGTTCCTGCCTTCATTAAAGCTAAACATTTCTGCCTAGATTTCAGTGTCTTCTATGGCCCAATCCTATTTTCCCATTGTTCATATAACTTCCAATACAGGCAGGCTGGACTTTAACTGAATCTCTCTTTGCCATAACTCCATATGATGCTATGCTCATTAAAGACTTCCTTTGTGTACATGTCTTATTCTCTATCCAGAACGCCCTTCCCCTCTATCCATTTAACTAAATCCTACCTAGTTTCCGATCAAGTATCTACTACTTCCATGGCTAATTCAGTCTTTGTTAATTATTCTCTTTTCTAAACTTCCATAGAATTTGCAACCTGCATTATACACTTTTGTATTCAATTTATGATCTCATATTGCAAGCAATTGTTTTGCAAAATCTTTTATAAATGTAAGTACCCTATGGACAAGAATGTCTTTGAGTGCCTCTGAATCCACTAAAGTGCTTCATTTGGTATTCAAAACACGGTAAGGATTTGTGAAAGTTGTCAGAATCAAAATGAAGATATTCCTGTTTAAAACAACAAAAAAACAAACAAAAACCAACCCTGACAAATGGAGCAAGGGAAAGCCATAAAGAGATGGTCCTCATGCATAAATGCCTGATAGCAAAAGCTATCACAAAAGACTCCGCCAAAACCACCACTTTGCACAACGGCCATTGCAATCTTACATGAAAAACACTGCAAGGACATCTACCCAGCAACTGCCTATCCAACCACAGACTGGCACACAAGGATAAGGATTTCAAAACAATTAGGCAATTCTCCCCATTTTTCCTTTAAAAACCTTTGTCTTCCTTTACCCCCCAAATACGCACATCGTTTACTATAGCACCTATACTAGCACTGCAATGCCCTATTCTAAAATAAATGTTACTTTCTTTTAGAGAGTCCTTGTTATTTAGGTTGACACGTTCAATACATATTGACTTTTTCATGGAATTATAAAATCAGGGACCTTTACAGTTAGAGAGAAACTAATTCGAACCATCATTTTATATCTGAAAACACTGAGGTCCATAGAAAATAAGAGACTTCCCTAAGGTCACACACCTACTTAAAAGTAGATCTGGGACTAAGAAACAAGTTCTTTTATTTCTTAGCCCATTATTCTACTACATACATGTACCTGAATTATGTTTAAATTTTGATCTACTTGAATGCTTAAGTTTGATGTGCAAGCTTAGAATCTTAAAAGCTTATATCACCACCTTCTATTCCCAAAGAGTCCCATAAAATTATTCAGTACATTCTAGTCCAAGCCACCATCTTCTCCCACTTGGAGCATGAAAATAGCCTACTGACTGTTCTTATTGTTTCCATTTTTGCCCCTTTTAGTCTCACTCACATAGGCAGATTGAGCCCTCCAGAAGACAAATGACATCATGTTACTCTCCTGCTAACACTCTGCATTTGGCCTCCTATCACACTTAGAATAAGATCCAAAACCTTTATCATGTCCAAATGTGATCTGGCCTATCCCATCTAGTAATATCTGCCAATCCCATCTCCTATCACATTCCTTCTTGTTCACCAAGCTCTAACCAGGCTGACCTCCTTTGCTGTTTCTTGAGCATTCTAAGCATGTTCTTCCTTTTAAGTCTTTAAATTGGCTGATCTATCAGACTGGAATGCTCATCCATAAACCAGATTGATAATTTATTTAACTCAGGTCTCTATTTAGCTGTGACCTCCTTACTGAAGCTTTTTCTGACCACCAATCTAAACTAAAGCCTCCATCATTTTCCATTCTTCTGTATTCTTCATAGTCTATACCTGGCCTTCACGACCACTAGAATGTAAGTCTGGAGAAGGTAAGAGACTGTTTTAACTTCTGAATCCTCATTATTAAAACACCTAGCATACAGTAGGTACTTGATAAATATTTATTTAATGAATAAATCAATTTATGTTTTCACTTATTAATCATCCAACAAGCATTTATTGTACATCAACTATAGACAAGACATTGGAGATACAAAGATGAATAAGATAGTTTCATTCCATTTCAGTTTTTAGGGAGTTTGTGATCTAGGGGAAATCTACTACCATGTGAACAATAAGTTACAGGACAATCTATTAAATGCTATAAGAAAAGTGTTGACAGTAAAATGGGAATACCAAGAGTAGAGCCTCTAACTCTGCCTTTAAAAAGTGAAGAAGGCCCCACAGAGGAGGCTGAA